TCTTGAATATGTAGATTAATATGGGGAGAATTGTCATTTTAACAATAGTGAGTCTTCCAAACATTGACCATGGTATATCTCTTCATTTAGTTAGTTCTTTGATTTCTCTCCTCAGTGTTTGTAGTTTTTAACTTACAGGCCTTACATTTCTTCTGTTAAATCTATTCCAATAATTTAATATTTTGGGGGGATGCTGTTGTAAATAGCATTTTTTAAACAGGAAAAAATACATATAAATATTGTTATTACATGCACATGTGCACATGGGAGTCAAGCAAGATATAAATACTCAGAGAAGGATAAGATGGTTCATGCTTCTATACCATCTTTTGGGGGCCAGATGGGAAGGCCATTTTTTGGATACATAATAACTGTACATATTTATGAGGTACATGTGATATTTCTGTACCTGCATACAATGTATAATGCTCAACCCAGGGTATTTAGGATATCCATCACCTAAAATATTTATCACTTCTTTGTGTTGGGAACATTTCAAATCTTTTCTTCTAGCTATTTTGAAATATGCAAATTATTGATAACTATAATCACCCCAGTCTGTGATCACACACTACAACGTATTCCTTCAATATGACTGTATGTACGCATTAACCAACCTCTCTTCACCGCCCTTCTCCCCCTTCCCAGCATCTGGTAGCCATCATTCTACTCTCTGCCTCTAGGAGATCTCCTTTATTTTAGCTCTCACATGAGTGAGAACATGCAAAATTTGTCTTTCTATGCCTAGCTTATTTCACTTAACATGATGCTGTCCAGTTCCATCCATGTTGCTGCAAATGACAGGGTTTCATTCTTTTTTTAATGGTTGAATAGTATTCCATTGTGTGTATATACCAAATTTTCTTCATTCTGACACTTAGGTTGATTCTATATCTTGGCTATCATGAATAGTGCTGCAGTAAACATGGGGATGCTAATATCCCTTTGATATACTGACATCCTTTCCTTTGGATAAATATCCAGTAATGGGATTGCTGGATCACGTGGTAGTTCTGTTTTTAGTGGTTTTTTTTTTTTGAGAGGGAGTCTCGCTTTGTCGCCTGGGCTGGAGTGCAGTGGCCGGATCTCAGCTCACTGCAAGCTCCGCCTCCCGGGTTTACGCCATTCTCCTGCCTCAGCCTCTTGTGTAGCTGGGACTACAGGCGCCCGCAACCTCGCCCAGCTAGTTTTTTGTATTTTTTAGTAGAGATGGGGTTTCACCGTGTTAGCCAGGATGGTCTTGATATCCTGACCTCGTGATCCACCCATCTCGGCCTCCCAAAGTGCTGGGATTACAGGCTTCAGCCCCTGCGCCCGGCCTGTTTTTAGTTTTTTTTGGGAAACCTCCATACTGGTTTCCATAAGGGCTGTACTAATTTACATTCCTGTCCACAGTGTATGTGAGTTCTCTTTTCTCTCCATTCATGCCAGCATATGTTATATTTTGTGGTTTTGGTGATAGCCATTCTCATGGGGGTGAGATGATAGCTCACTGTGGTTTTCATTTCAATTTTCCTGATGATTAGTACTCTGAGCATTTTTTTCATATATATGTTGGCCATTCTTTTGAGAAATGTCTCTTCAGATCCTTTGTCCACTTTTTAATGGGATTTTTTTTTGCTCTTGATTTGAGTTCCTTATATATTCTGCATATTAGTCCCTTGTTGGATGAATAGTTTGCAAATATTGTCTCCCATTCTGTAGGTTGTCTCTTTATTGATTGTTACTTTTGCTGTACAAAGGCTTTTTAGTTTTATAGGGTCCCATTTGCCTATTTTTATTTATTTCTATGCATTTGAAGTCTTAGCCATAAAATCTTTGCCCAGACTAATGCCCTGAAGTGTTTCCCTTATGTTTTCTTCTAGTAGTTTTAATGTTTTGGGTCTTATGTTTAACTCTCGAATTCATTTTGAGTTGATTTTTGTGATAGGTGCCCAGTTTCATTCTTCTGTAATATTCAGTTTTCCTAACACCATTTATTGAAGATATTATTCTTTCCTCTGTGTTTTTCTGGTACTTGTGTTGAAAAATCAGTTGACTGTAAATACATGGATTTATTTCTGGGTTCTCTATTCTATTCCATTGGCTTGTGTCTCAGTTTTTATACCAGTAGTAACCTGTTTTGGTTACTATAGCTTTATGGTGTATTTTGAAGTCAGATAGCATGATACCTCCAGCTTTGTCCATTTTACTCAGTATTACTTTGGCTATCCAGGGTCTTTTGTGGTTTATATGAATTTTAGGATTGTTGTTTCTATTTATGTGAAGAATAGCATTGGTATTTTGATAGGGATTACATTTAATCTGTAGATTGCTTTGGATAATACAGTCATTTTAACAATATTCTTAGAACCTATTTGCATAGTATGTTTTCTATTTGTTTGTGTTCTCTTCAATTTCTGTCATCAGTGTTTTGTCATTTTTGTTGTAGAGGTCTTTCACCCTTGGTTAAATTTATTCCCAGGTATTGAATATTTTTTGTAACAATTGTAAATGTGATTACTTTTTTGATTTATTTTTCAGCTAGTTATTATTACTGATTTTTGTAGTTGATTTTGTATTCAACTTCACTGAATTTATTGATCAGATCTAAGAGTTAAAAACACACATTGGAGTCTTTAGGTTTTTCTACATATAAGATCATGTCATGTGCAAAGAGGGACAATTTGGCTTCCTCTTTTCCAGTGTGGTTGCCTTGGATTTCTTTCTCTTTCCTGATTGCTTTGGCTAGGACTCCCAGTACTAAGTTGAATGAGAGTCGTGAGAGTGGGACATTTCTACTAAGCCAGACAATGGCAGAGCAAAAAAAAAAAAAAAAAAAAAAAACTACAGGCAAATACTTCTGATAAACACAGATGCAAAAATCGTCAACAAAATACTAGTAAACCAAATCAAGTAATATATCAAAAAGATAATATACCATGATCAAGTGGGATTTATCCCAGGGATGCATTGATGGTTCCACATATACAAATCAATAAATACGAATACATCACCTCAACAGAATGAAGGACAAAAACTGTAAGATCATCTCAACAGACATAGAAAAGGCATTTGATAAAATTCAGCATCCCTTCATCATAAAAAAAAAAACTCTCAAAAAATTACACATTAAAGGAACATACCTCAACATAGTAAAGACCATATGTGACAAACCCATGGCTTACATCCTCCTGAATGGGGAAAAGCTGAAAGCTTTTCCTCTAAGAACTGGAAAAAGACAAGAAGAGCCCAAGTTTCTTGTGTTCTTGTTTTTTATTGTTGTTGATGTTTTGAGACAGGTCTCACTCTGTCACCCAGGCTGGAGTGCAGTGGTGCTATCTCAGCTCACTTCAACCTCTGCCTCCCGGGTTCAAGCGAGTCTCTCACCCCAGCCTCCCAAGTAGCTAGGATGACAGGCATGCGCCACTACACCCAGCTAATTTTTGTATTTTTAGTAAAGATGGAGTTTCCCATGTTGGCCAGGATGGTCTCGAACTCCTTAAGTGATCCACCCACCTTGGCCTCCCAAAGTGCTGGGATTACAGGTGTGAGCCACCATGCCCGGCTGAATGTTTCTTCTTATATTGATATTTGTGTATGTGTTGTAATAATTCCTTCTTTTAATGTTATGGATTGGCTTTTTTAGGGAAAGGCTTTTTTTTCTGTAGATGTATCTATATTGTTGCTGGGAGAAGGTGCTTTGGCTTTCTGGGTGGGTGCAGTAGTGTAGTCTCTGTATGATTTCTTCACTTTTATTCAGACTAGTTTCCTGGCTCTTCAGTGGTGTAGGCTGCAATTGTTGTAGGCTGTGACAAGACTTTGCTGGGGACTGATATGCCAGATGGGCTGGTCCTCTGGAATCAGTAGTAGCAGTGGCATTTTAGGAATGCCAGTCTTTGGGCTCCCTTGGGCCTCCAGGTGGTATGCTTGGGTGCTGGCAGTGCCAGTGGCCGACCAAGTGGATGGGTCCTTGGATTCCCTGGGTGACGTGTGAGGAGTTGACAGTGGTAGCAGTGGTGTGTCAGTCCTTGCACCACTCAGCAGCATGTGTGGCTTTTAGTGGTGGCAGCAGGCTTGATAGGCTAGTCTCTAGACCTCCAGGTGGCATGCAGTGATGGGTGGCACTGGTGGCAGGATAGGCTAGGTTTTGCTCTGGAGAACTGTCCTGCAGACTGTAGAATGTTTACCAGCATCCCTGTTCTTTAGCCAGTAAATGCCAGTAACATCACATGGGAACTTGTTAGAAATACAGTTTCACAGGTCCTGCTGCACTCCACTGAGTCTAGAAACCAAGGTGATGTGGCCCAGCATTCTGTGCTTTAACAACCCTCAGGTGATTTTAATGTATGTTCAAGCTTGAAATACCACTGCCTTGGTAGATTACAAGGTTCCCCCTGCCCCAGAAAGAACTTGTATTAGTCAAGGTTCTCTAAAGGGACAGAACTGATAGGAGAGATATGTGTGTGTGTGTGTGTGTGTGTGTGTGTGTGTATGAAGGAGAGTTTTTTAGGAGAATTGACTCATATCATCACAAGGTGTCCCACACTAGGCCATCTGCAAACCGAGGAGCCAGGAAGCCAGTCCGAGTTCCAAAACCTCAAAAGTAGAGAAGCCGACAGTGCAGCCTTCAGTCTGTGGTCAAAGGCCCAAGAGCCCCTGGCAAAGCACAGGTGTAAGGTGATGGGTTTTAAATAAGGAACATTTGTAACTTAAACCTTCAGAGGACACCTCACATGAAACTGGCTGCCTCCGCAGGAGTAATTTAGATCTCTCCACCTTGTTGTTAGGAACCTGGAACAGAGATTTTTGCATTGGATATGAGATTAGATAGACTTTTAAGGGCTCGTCTGACTCTCTGCCTTTCAAGCTTTAATCAGAAGTCTTAGCTTTCTTTCTCCAGTTTTAGATTTAACAATCTAAACCTAACTTGAACATTGGTACATAATGCCTAATAAATGTTGCTTAAGTAAAATGAACTTGGAAACATTCTTCATGGTATCCTCTTTTTTCTCTTGCAGTTAAAAGGGCCAAATTCCAGGGTTCACCAGGTAAGGCCAGCCTTCTATTATGTCTTTTCCTCTTGTATTTGCTGTTATTTCAAAGCAATTTAAAAAAGTTATTAATTCATTGATCAAATTCAGTAATTTAATTCATTACTTCACTAAATTAATTCATGAAATCATTAATCTAGTGAAAAATTAGTTTTCTTACCTCTTGGCTAACCCAATTCTACTTCTCAATAATAATTATGTATTTAGAGGTTTTGATATACCTTTTCTGACTTTTTCTCAGAAAAAAGTCCGAAATAGTATAAAAGGATAAATATTGACAATTAGTGGAAAAAAATTTTTTTTATACTTTAAGTTCTAGGGTACATGTGCACAACGTGCAGGTTTGTTACATAGGTATACATGTGCCATGTTGGTTTGCTGCACCCATTAACTCGTCATTTACATTTGATATTTCTCCTAATGCTATCCCTCCCCCAGCCCACCACCCCACGACAGGCCCTGGTGTGTAATGGATAAATATTGAAATATCAGTGTATCATGTCTTGCAGTTCATGAACCTGTTTCAGCTTAAGAGTGTGTGTAGCCGGGCGCGGTGGCTCACGCCTGTAATCCCAGCACTTTGGGAGGCTGAGGCGGGCGGATCACAAGGTCAGGAGATCGAGACCACGGTGAAACCCCGTCTCTACTGAAAATACAAAAAATTAGCCGGGCGCGGTTGCGGGCACCTGTAATCCCAGCTACTCGGGAGGCTGAGCCAGGAGAATGGCGGGAACCCGGGAGGCGGAGCTTGCAGTGAGCCGAGATCGTGCCACTGCACTCCAGCCTGGGCGGCAGAGCGAGACTCCGACTCAAAAAAAAAAAAAAAAAAAGAGTGTGTGTATATGTATCTGTTGGGTCATATAAAATTTAAAATATACAAATAGACTATGTGAAACATATCTTATGCAACCTGCTTTTCCCCCCCAGCAACACATCATGAAAGAGAGTGTGTGTGTGTGTGTGTGTGTGTGTGTGTGTATATGTATGTATGTGTGTGTCTGGTTCATTCTTTTAAGGTGCTGTACAGAATTTTGTTGTAGATTTGTACCCGGATTAATAGGTCCCTGATTGATTAATACTTGATTAATATTTAGGTTCCCAACTTTTTGCCATTATAAAGAATAAATGTTCATGTGCACTTCTCATTGTTTGCTTTTGCAAATGTGTCTATGTACTAGATTCAGAAGTAGAATTGCTGGGTCAAAAGTATATATATATATTTTTAAAATTTGATAACTCCTGCCAAATTTTTCTTCTGCAAGTTTTTACTATATATACTGAGACCAAAAGTTTATGAACATTTATTTTCCCAAATTCTTATCAACATTCGATATGAAACTTTAAAATCTTTGTCTGAAGATTTAAAATGGTATTTCCTTATTTTAATATGCATTTCCTCAATTTTGATTGTCATATTAGGAAGATTTCCTCTGGTTACTGCTGGGGAAGAAGGGAGGGGAGCTGGAGGATTACTGGAAATGTGTGAATATGCTTGAGAACCCAGGAAAACCTGAAAAACTGGACCTTGGGTACAACAGTAATGAAAGCAGTTTCTGAGCAGTTTCTTGTTTTAAAGGTTGTTATCTTTCTCTGTCTGCTGGCTCTTTTTTTCTGAGAATCTGCTCTGTTGTTTCTCTCCCAGGTGGTTGTCTATGCTTACCCATCTTGCACCCGTAATAGCTGCCTCAATGGAATTTATACCTCTTCCTTTTAGCTTCAGCACCAACCACCAGTTGTCAGTATTTATCCTTTTACCCTATTTAATATCTTTTGAGAGGGAATCAGGTTTGTTTCAGCTTTTGGCCAGCTTATGGATTGGCTGCTCTTGGGTTATTTAATCTTGGTCTGGTCAGCTATGTGTGATTGGATGTTGGGGTGGAGTACAAAATAATGTGATATAAAACATAGCTCAGTGGCCTACTGCACTACCACTAGTAGATATGGATGGAGATTCTCCTTGTATAGGCTTTTATCCTCATATATCTTTAATATAATTGTAAATTTTCCATGTTGATAAGTATGAAACTACACCATTTTAAATGATATTTAAAAGAAAGATTTACCTTCAGCTGAAAGTGTATAATGGGTCCCATTTTCTTATATTTTCTCTAACATTAGGTAATCATGTTAAGCAATGTTTGCCAGTTCGATGAGTCAAAGTGATAGTTTGCTATTTTTTCATTGTATAAAATTAGGATTAATTTCTTACATAGAAAAGCAAACCCTCAATTCAGTGCCCCAATCATGGCTGATGTGGATGTAGTGAGGCGAGTGCCAAATGTGCTGTAGTAAGAATTAGGTGAGATGCCTGAGTCTGAAGTTTCAGGCCACCACCTTTGTTTAGTAATCAACTTGTTTAGTACTCAACTCTCAGGTTAGAGAATTTCCTTTTCTCAACTCTGATAATATTTCTTTTTTTGACTGGGTGCGGTGGCTCATCCTTGTAATCCCAGCACTTTTGGAGGCCGAGATGGGTAGATCACTTGAGGTCAGGCGTTCGAGACCAGCCTGGCCAACGTGGTGAAACCTTGTCTCTACAAAAAATAAAAAAGCTGGGCATGGTGGCGCACACCTATAATCCCAGCTATTTGGGTAGCTGAGGCATGAGAATTGCTTGAACCTGGTAGGTGGAGGTTGCAGTGAGCCAAGATCATGCCACTGCACTCCAGTTTGGGTGACACAGCAAGACTCTGTCTCAAAAAAAAAAAAAAGAGATTTCTTTTTATGCAATTTGTGCTTTAGGCCAAACTGAATAGATCGAGATTGAAATCTAATTTTTTTGTGAAGATTTTTCCTTAAATTTTGTCCTTATTAACAGCTCTGCAGTTCTTTATCACTTTTTTCTTTTTTCCTTGTGGTACTTATCTCTTTCTACATTTTATTAAATTTATGTACCTTATCTTTCCTAGCAGATCAATTAGATTTGGATTTTTCCCCCCAGACGGCAAGTAGGCTATGTAATTAACTTAGTAGGTTAGGATTAACATTGTAATAGATTAAATAAATTAGAATAGGAAATATCAATGTATCATATCTTCACATTCATGAATCTGTTTCAGTTTGAGTGTGTGTGTATGCATATTTGTTGGGTCATACATAAAATTTCTTAAAATTTAAAAAACAGTATTTTAGATTATGCTCTTGAAGATAGTATGTAGTTTTATAATTTTGGCAACTCTACTGTGTCTTGAATGAAGCTATATTATACAATATATAGCTTATTTTTTTCCTGCACATGTAATACTTTAATTTCTATATTGCTTAATTCCAAGGACTTTGTGAGATTGGGTAACAATCTGAGCACTAAGTATTCTGTCTCCATTTTGTATTTTTTCAAAGATAAATTTAACACATATGTGACCCTGAAAGTACAGAATGTGAAGAGCACAACTGTAGCAGTTCGTGGTGATCAGCCTTCCTGGGAACAGGATTTCATGTTGTAAGTATTTTGCAGCAGCAGTGTGCCTACATATTTCATAATCTTTTAAAGGAAATTGCATTGGGTGAAACAATTAGAAGATTTTGTGTATTTTTGAGATTTATAAAATGTACTGGCACTGTTAAATACTCTTTTGAAAACTGAGGAGTTACAGAAATAAGTGAGGTTCATGGTACGTGAAGCACAAGTGCAGTTTTGTTTTCTCATGGATTTGTAATTTGTTCCTGGAGATGAATGATAATGCAGGTAAACTCCCAATTGATTTGTGTTGGTGCAAATACTACATAGGCAGATTTTCTCAATGGCCAGAATTAGAATAGAGTACAGCAGACTTAGCATGACATTAAACTTCATCTTTCTTTGATTCTCAGAAGGCTCTTTGAAGGAACGTGGCCATGCATGTGAGAGACTGTATCTTCGTGTGTGCCTAAGTCATCTGTTTTAGAGGCTGAAGATTTCTGTGCTTATAATCCTTTTGCTTTATGGAGTAAAATGTCCTATATTCAATTAATTAAAATGAATAAATATTAGTAGAGTTTCTCGTGTATGACAAAGTTTAGTATATTATGATTTTAATTAAACTTTGGCTTTAAAAACTTGATATTTCTTTCTTTTGTCTCCTTAAGTTTCAGGAATTTTGTGTTCCTGTTCTAGAAAAGGGGAGAAAAGTATAGAATGTATTCAAGGACTAGGCAAATCATTTAGCTTCATAGGGCACTAGTTTCCTTATCTATAAAGGTCTTCCTTTCTCAGAAGATTATGCTTGTTTTTTTGGAAGGTAGAGGTGGACATGAAGGGGCTGAATGAGAAAACGTACTGAAATTTGCTGTGAAATTTGAAACGGAACTGAAATCGATTTGCATGTTTTATAGTGCAGCTCAGAGGGACATAGGGATGGTTATTATTTTTATGGGGAGACATTTCCAATCCTCTGGGCTCTTAGTATATTGCTTCCTTTTTTTTTTTTTTTTTAAGGCAGGATCTCACTTTGTCAACCATGCTGGAGCATGGTGGTATGATCATAGTTTACTGCAGCCTCTAACTCCTGGGCTCGAGCGATCTTCTTGCCTTAGCCTCCTGAGTAGTGGAAACTACAAGCATGTACCACCACACCTTGGTTAATGTTTTTGTTTTTTGTAAAGATGGGGTTTTCGCTATGTTGCCCAGGCTAATCTCAAACTCCTAGGCTCAAGCAGTCTTCCTGCCTTGGCCTCCCAAAGTTGTGGGATTACAGGTGTGAGCCACTGCACTCAGCCTATATTGCTTCCTATAGGACCATTATTGTGATAGTTAAAGGCAAAGATTATGAGGTTTGGGGCTAGGACAATAGCAGAAGACATAGAAAAGGATGAATAGAGGGTGTTCAGGAAGTAGAACCAAAAGATTTGCTTGGACGATGGGGTGGGTGGTATGCCATTCAGTAGGATGAGGATTAATATAAGTTATGGACAGTCTTATATTTGAGATTCTTATAGGACAGATAGGAAGGAGGAGAGGTACAGAAGATAGTTAGAAACCTGAAGCCGGCACTCAGGGAAGAAGTCTGCTTTGGAGAAATATTTTGGTCAGTTGAAGCCATAGATGAAGAGGAGAATGCTTAGGGATAAGATGTGTATGGTGAGAAAAGGGACTGGGGTAGAAGCTGGAGAGTGGCAGCATTTAAATGAGGGGACAAAAAAGGATTAAACAGAGAGGTAGAAGAGCCAGGATATAATGGTGTCTTGGAAGCTGAGGGAGAACTGGGCTTCAAACAGAAGGAGGCCAATAGTGTCATGTTTCTTTCTCACTGGTTGCCTCTCTCTCAAGATTATATAAGCCTCATTTATTCCCTCTTACAGTGACAGTGATATGAGACTGAGAGCACCTGTTTCCTTCTTTACACATGCAGTGTACAGAGTCAGCTACAAATGGTTTATGCAAGTCTCTTTCCATACCAGTGTGTTAGCCATAATCCTGGCTATGGTTTATAAACCTAGCACTTCCAGTTGGCTATAACCATCACTTCCAGTTATAACTGTTCCCATTATGTGAGGCACAGTGATCTTCTGCAGCCTCTCATCAGCATAGCTAGCATTATTCTTTTTTTTTTTTTTTTTTTTGAGACGGAGTCTCGCTGTGTCTCCCAGGCTGGAGTGCAGTGGCGTGATCTCGGCTCACTGCAAGCTCCGCCTCCCGGGTTCATGCCATTCTCCCACCTCAGCCTCCCGAGTAGCTGAGACTACAGGCGCCCGCCACCACGCCCGGCTAGTTTTTTTTTTTTTTGTATTTTTAGTAGAGACGGGGTTTCACCGTGTTAGCCAGGATAGTCTCGATCTCCTGACCTCGTGATCCACCCGCCTCGGCCTCCCAAAGTGCGGGATTACAGGCTTGAGCCACCGCGCCCGGCCTAGCTAGCATTATTCTTATGTGTTTATTTTCCAGTTTCCCATAGCACTTCCCCTTTCTACCCTGCTGTGATGTGTGTGAATTTTCTTCCTGTCTCCCACATTGAGATGCTGTGTGAATTTTGCCATCTCTTCTTTTACACGTGGGTTTTATTAGCTACTTTCTCTACTTTTCTGCTCTTCCTACTCCTTATTCTTCCTATCCTGTCCTATTTTATTTATTTACTTATTTATTTTTTTTGGTTCACTCCTTGCAGAATTTAGTCTACTACCCTGTCCTTTTGTCACTGGAAACTCCATTGTTGGTTTCCTCTCTCCCATTCTCCTTTTTCCTTCTCCATGATGTATTATGTGGCAGTATCTAATATCCATTTTGGTATTTCTTATATTATTTGTTTTTAACATTTTTCATATCTTGTTTTTAGGACTAGATTGTTCATTTCTTAAGGGTAAGGTGGGCATCTTCACTATTTGTATGAATTCGTGTATCCCAAAGTCTTCTATACTATTGTTGATTGAATTAATTAACAGAAAAGAAACTTCCCTAGGGTCCTGGGTATGAAGCATAAGTAGAGCTCTCAGACCTCTCTTAGCTAGACCTGCTGAGCAGATGTAGGTGAGATGAGAAGCTTCTTACAGAATATATACTCACTGTTTGGGCCTTCTCCCCAGAGAGTTCTCTGAAGAACAGATTTTCTTCTTTATCTGTTCAAGTCAAGCTGTTAAAGACCTCTGGCTATTTCTTCTGTCTGTTGGCTGAGATACTATTTGGGAGTTGATTTGGGAATATTATATATGTATCCCCAAGCAATTTTTCTTTTTTTCTTTATCTTGTGAGACAGGATCTCACTCTGTTGACCAGGCTGGAGTGCAGTGGCACCATCTTGGCTCACTGCAGCCTTGATTTCCTGGGCTCAAGCGATTTTCCAGCTTCAGCCTCCTGAGTAGCTGGGACTACAGACACACGCCACCGTATCTAGCTAATTAAAAAAAATTTTTTGGCCGGGCGCGGTGGCTCAAGCCTGTAATCCCAGCACTTTGGGAGGCCGAGATGGGCGGATCACGAGGTCAGGAGATCGAGACCATCCTGGCTAACATGGTGAAACCCCGTCTCTACTTAAAAAAAAAAAAAAAGGCACGGTGGCTCAAGCCTGTAATCCCAGCACTTTGGGAGGCCGAGACGGGCGGATCACGAGGTCAGGAGATCGAGACCAGCCTGGCTAACATGGTGAAACCCCGTCTCTACTAAAAATACAAAAAACTAGCCAGGCGAGGTGGTGGGCGCCGGTAGTCCCAGCTATTTGGGAGGCTGAGGCAGGAGAATGGCGTAAACCTAGGAGGCAGAGCTTGTAATGAGCTGAGATCCGGCCACTGCACTCCAGCATGGGTGACAGAGCGAGACTCTGTCTCAAAAAAAAAAAAAAAAAAAAAAAAATTTTTTTTGGAGACACTAGGTTTTGCCATGTTGCCCAGGCTGGTCTTGAACTCCTGGGCTCAAGTGATCTTCCCACCTCAGCCTCCCAACATACTGGGATTACAGGCATGAGCCATTGCACCTGGCCCAAGCAATTTTTTGATTCCATATTCAAATGACGGATAAGTCCAATGGATTTGAGGATGTCACCTATATTTTCCAAGACTAATTGGTTAATTAGGCTGAATTAAATGATGTGACAGAAAGCTTAGTTTCTCCACTGCGAACACTGTAACTTAGTGGCTAGGCTTATTCATCTACTTTGTGGCTCTGAACAGCTCTCCAGATAGCTTAGAAGTTTTTGGACACACAAAAAAATTGAGTCCTATATTATGTTTCTTCTCCAAAGCACCTAGTCATATGTCTTGTAAGTGCTCAGGAAATGATAATTAAATGAATAAATTAACTCAGTACATTCTATGCTGTATTATATTTATATAAAAGGGATAAATTTTCTTTGCTTTATTCATTTTCAACACCTGACATTAATTCTATGGCTGTCATTCTATATCTCAAACTTGTGAATCTGAGAACATTTATTTTATAGCCCAACAGGGAACCCAAGTACAAACTTGAAACTTCTACTTGTGATAAATAGCTGTTGTTTTCCTGAGAATGCTTTTCTGCTCTCTCTGCTGGAATTGGTCTTTTCTCATCTTTCTTGGACTACCCCTCAAGTAGCCTTGTGTTTTAGTAAGAGCTTTCTGGAGAACATTTTTAGCATTAACACAAGTACTATTTGCATATTCTAGTTTAAGACTGGGATTATGTTTGAGTAAGTCCTTCCAAACAGATACTCAACCATGTATGACACTGCTTTTAAATAGTGCTTATCTGGCTCTTTATGGAATGATTTCTTTTCAATTTTTTCCCCCGTGGTTATTATTATAGGAAAATCATTATATTTATCATTATCCCATGGTAATAATTTTGCTTGTAAGTGACAATGCCTAGCTTAATAATGATTAATGAGTCTCCAGGGACTGAGTGGTGTGAACTAGCACACTCTAGCACCCCTCACTTGCCTGTGACCACATGTTCCTATCAAACTGACGTGTTCTCAGGGACCCTACTTCTACCTGGACTCCCTTTCATAAATCCCCCTTTCCCCCCAGCTTTTTTGGTGGGGATGGAGTCTGGCTCTGTCACCCAGGCTGGAGTGCAATGGCATGATCTTGGCTCTGCCTCCTGGGTTCAAGTGATTCTTGTGTCTTAGCCTCCCAAGTAGCTGGGATTACAGGCGTGCGCCCCCATGCCCAGCTAATTTTTTGTATTTTTAGTAGAGACAGCATTTTGCCACGTTGGCCAAGCTGGTCTCAAACTCTTGACCTCAGGTGATCCGTGCGCCTCCCAAAGTGCTGGGATTATAGGCTTGAGCCACCATGCCTAGCCTCATAAATCTTATAAAGTAGACTTACCTTTCCTAAAAGTTTCCTGTATACAATGTGTAGTTTAAGTTGAAGCAGTGTTAGTTGACAATAAAACATATGAAACTGTTGCCTATGGGTGGAAATTGGCAGGCAGGCCTGGCAGTAATGTCCTCATTACTTGGCCTCATATTGTGTGAAACTGCATTAGTCTAATCATGATTGTATCTCCAAAGTGGAAAGAATGGATAGACAAAGGCATTTTTCTTTCTTTTTTTCCCCCATCCCCACTGAGGTTTAAATGGTATATAAAAAACTGTACATAATTTATGTGTACAATTTAGACATGTATATACTTGTGTTACCATCACCATAATCAAGGTAATAAATATATTTATCAACTCTAAAAGTTTACTTGTGTCTCCTTTTTTTGTTGTATGTGTGTTAAGAACATTTAATATGAAATCTACCCTCTTAAATTTTGAGTTGCACAATACCTTATTGTTAACTGGAGGCACTATGTGGTACAGCAGCAGGTCTCTGGAACTTACTTAACTGTAACAAAGGCAGTTTTCTGTGGACACCTTACATAGGTTTCTTGGAGCCTAAAAATGGTCACCGCATTCTGGGAAATTTTGATTTTCCCTGAAGACAGGATCCTGGTGAGAAAGCATTCAAAGTTTAGCAAAACAGGAGATGTAGTTGTTTCTTTCATATTGTCTAGCTTTCCTCAAAGGGCTTTCCTCTTTCTCTTAGTGAGATTAGTCGCCTGGACCTGGGTCTAAGTGTGGAGGTATGGAACAAAGGACTGATCTGGGACACCATGGTGGGGACTGTGTGGATTGCACTGAAGACTATTCGTCAGTCGGATGAGGTCAGTCATTGCATTGCCTGTTTGGAAGTATGGTTCCCAGCCCTTGCTTCTCCCCATGCTAGCTCCACTTTAGCTAATATTCATCCATGCATCTTGGATTATTCTTCCCCCTTTCTAATTAGAGGGCATGCAACCTGCCTGTTCCTAACTTCACCTGAAGGTTCAGATGATTTTATTTAAGTCTGGCCTACCCTGTGTCCTGTGACTGAACTCACAGGCTCCAGAGCACCTCTTCAGCCTTATCAGGTAGATAGTCCCTTCTGAGGTATGTGTGTGTCTGTGTGTGTGTGTTTACTTAGGGTACTTGTGGTTTCTGTGTTCTCCTCTAAGTCGCTGCCCTGGGAGGAGTCCCATTAAACTTCCTTAGCCAGCTGGCTGGCTATTCTCTGCTTTGTTTCTTTGAGTTACCAATCTCCAAGGAACTGATTTTCAGTGCCCTTCTTCTGCATGTAACCCTAACAGAGTTTAAGGAACTACCAGGTTTGGCAATTTATATTCACACTGTCTATACATTTTTTCTAGGATTGAACTCTTGCCTCACTTTCCTAGACTAGACCATAACTGAGCATCATTTCCCCACTTTGCACCTGGACAAAATCTGTTATATTCCTATTTGGTGTTAACATGGACCATGAATTTTCTCTGGGAGTGGGGAAGTTGAAGTTGCTTCTATTTTCTGTATTTCTTTTAGTTCTAGCTAAGTCTCTACTCCCCCAGGCAGATGGGCAGTTCATTTTCATTGCAACCCCAGTTCAGTCCTATTTAGCCAGCAATGTTAGTAGCTTTTTACTGACTAGAAACAGTGACACAGTCATTAAGAACTGTGCAGGTTAAATATTGATCCACAGAGGTGCTTAGTTTTAGAGTATGCTACTCGAGACATTTTGTCCTTGTTAGACCTGCAGAGCTGAGCACTGAAAGCTGCTTCCCCACCAAAGAGGGAAAACGGAAGCCACATGCAGTGGAGGCAGGTGGTGACAGTGGTGTGTTTGCCTTACCAGGATGTGAATGGCCCTCAGAAGCTCAAGCACGGAACTTCAGAGAAAAAAACCTGACTCTTGAACTAAGAGGGAGCCAAGAAAGATTAAACTTTAATCTTAGATCTTTGTGTCCTAGGAAGGGCCTGGGGAATGGTCCACATTGGAGGCAGAGACGTTAATGAAAGATGATGAGATCTGTGGAACTAGAAACCCAACTCCTCATAAAATTTTGCTTGATACAAGATTTGAGTTGCCTTTTGGTGAGTCTATTTGATTAAAATTTTAAAACTATTTAATAATTTTTACCATATTGTTTGGAATTGTTTGCTAGTTGTTTCATTAATGTATATTTTGTCACCTCAGCCATCTCTTTTGAGGATATTTTGTCTTCATTCACTCTCTTTCTTTTAACACTTCACCCAGGGAATGGTGCAAAGTAGAATATAGAATGGTGCGCTTTAAAGAATCTACACTGAAAAGCATTCTCTTCAACTCATCTAATTTTCTGTGACTATTTATTATAATGACTTACGAAATATTTGCTTGTTAGATTTATTATTTTGAAAATAAACATTTATTGTCTTGAAGTGACTATATATACCTTCTGATTTGTTAATTTAAGAACTAGCACTGATAAATAGAATAACAACTTAAAATGTAAATTAAATCACAATACATGCTCATGATAAAAATTCAAATAGTAAGAAAATGTACATGGATAAAGTTAAAAGTTTATTTTCCCAGTTCCTTTAACCTTCTTTGCATTTCCCAGTGTGAAATCACTGTTAACATTCTTGTATTTTGGTTTAGACACATGATACTTATTTTCTAAAAACTTATTTTGGCAAAATTTGGATCATACTCTATATAATATGTATATACTGATATATAGTGTTTTACAAACTACTTAGACATTTATCCTGGACATCGCTCCATGTTATACTTTAAGATCTATCTTGTTCATTTGAACAGATGCCTCTACCATAATTTATCTTTTTTTTTGTTTTTGTGTTTTTGTTTTTTGTTTTTGTTTTTTTTCATTTTTTTGAGATGGAGTCTTGCTCTGCCTAGGCTTTAGGGCAGCAGCACGATCTTGGCTCACTGCAACCTCTGCCTTCTGGGTTCAAGTAATTCTCATGCCTCAGCTTCCCGAGTCACTGAGATTACAGGCTTTTGCTACCACATCTGGTTAATTTTTTGTATTTTTTAGTAGAGACAGGGTTTCACCATGTTGGTCAGGCTGGTCTCGAACTCCTGACCTCAAATGATCCGCACACCCCGGCTTTCTAAAGTGCTGGAATTACAAGTGTGAGCCACCACGCCCGGCCTACCATAATTTATTTAAGTACTCCTTTATTGATTGACATGTAGGTTTTTTCAGTTTTTTTTGATGTTATATACTGCTAACTAACAACTCTGTATATCTTTGCCCATTTTGAGTCTAGAATAAATTTCTTAAAGTAGAATTGCTGGATCAAAGGGTATGTACACAATTACTTTTTATGGAATCTACTAAGTTCCTTGTCCAAAAGGTTATACCAATTTATACTCTTATAAATTATATCTGAGGAGTGCCTGTTTCTGCACATCCTTGGCAGTCTTTTGTATTTCCCAGTTAATCTTTATTTGATTATTTTGTATGGTGTCTTGTTTTAGTTTAGTTGATTTCCGTTAGTTTTATTTTAATTTTTTACCATTCATATTATTGATATTTGCATATCCTGTTGTTATTGCTGTTGTTTTATGATCTCAGTGTATTTGTATCTTGTATCCTATGGTTATTTAAGCAAAAATGACATGATTTTCCAGCTAACTCGGAAAGACCTAAACTCAGAACAACTATTATTTCAGAAAAATAGGAAGTCTTTCTTGTGGGACGTAGACCAAGCTGCAAGTGAAGGGAAAATCAACTGGAGGGAGTGGGTGTTGGTTCAAATACCACAGATACTGTCCATTTTCTTTTTTTTTCTTTTTTTTTTTTTTTTTGAGACGGAGTCTCGCTCTGTCGCCCAGCCCAGGCTGGAGTGCAGTGGCGCGATCTCGGCTCACTGCAAGCTCCGCCTCCCGGGTTCACGCCATTCTCCTGCCTCAGCCTCCCGAGTAGCTGGGACTACAGGCGCCCACAACCGCGCCCGGCTAATTTTTTTTTTTGTAATTTTTAGTAGAGACAGGGTTTCACCGTGGTCTCGATCTCCTGACCTTGTGATCCGCCCGCCTCGGCCTCCCAAAGTGCTGGGATTACAGGCGTGAGCCACCGCGCCCGGCCGATACTGTCCATTTTCACCAAATTTTAGTAGATAGTCTTGAATAAATGTTTTTTTGTTTGATGTATGCACTTAGGACCATTTCCAGAGACTTTAAATGGTTGTATTTTTAATGTTGTATTACTTTTTGACTGATTTCACTCACTAATTACATAGTTACAAATATTATATAAAATAGACATTATTCTTCTACTTTTAGTGGTTGATTTTATTTAAAAATCAGGGCCGGGCACAGTGACTCACACCTGTAATCCCAACATTTTGGGATGCTGAGGTGGGCGGATCATGAGGTCAGGAGTTTGAGACCAGTCTGACCAACATGGTGAAACCCCATCTCTACTAAAAATAGAAAAAATTAGCTGGGGGTGGTATCGTGCGCCTGTAATCTAAGCTACTCAGGAGGCTGAGGCAGGAGAATCGCTTGAACCCGGGAGGCATGGAGGTTGCAGTGAGCCGAGATTGCGCCACTGCACTCCAGCCTGGGCGATAGAGTGAGACTCTGTCTCAAAAAAAAAAAAAAAAAAAAAAAAAAAAGATTCAATAATAACAAAATAACATTTATGGTGAATTATTGTGTGCTGGTGGACATGTCACTAAGTATTCACATATGTTAGCTCAGTTAATCCTCATTTCAGTCCTTTGAGGCAGACCCAACTATTATTCCCCACTTTAGAGATAAGCAAACTAAGACAGAGAGTATTTAAGTATTTTGGCCATGGTCTGACTCTAGAGCTGGGGCTTTTAATTTTAACTATTTGTATAATACATTTAACTACTTCTTGTTGGGTATTTTGATTGTTTGAAGTTTATACTGTTATAAATAGCACTGCGATAAACATGCTTGTATCTCTCTATATTTTTTCTCCTTAAAACTATTTTTGTGGAGTGAGGCAGGAATAAATTTACAATGGTTTAAGAAGTTATCCAGTGAAAAGTCCCTTCAGAAATCCATTTTCTTCCTATAGGTTACCACTATTAATACTTTCTTGTGTATCTTTCCAGAGTCAGTTTCTGAATATAAGCACACACACACACACACACACACCCCACCATCTTCTTTTTAAAAAGCAAATAGCATATTCTAACACATTCCCTGTGCCTTGCTGTTTTGCATTTAATATATCTTGGTAAATCATCCCACATCAGAGCATATAGACCGGCAGCAGCAGCAGCTCCTCTTCCACCTTGCACCTCCCACTCTCCTTCTTTGTAACAGGTGCATAGTATACCATTTTATGGATGTACCATATGTATGAGAAAGCACTATACAAATTACGTTGTAGACTATTTGAAGGTGAGTGTGTGTGTTTTTAAATAAGACTTTGAAATAGGCCGGGCGCGGTGGCTCAAGCCTGTAATCCCAGCACTTTGGGAGGCCGAGATGGGCGGATCACGAGGTCAGGAGATCGAGACCATCCTGGCTAACATGGTGAAACCCCGTCTCTACTAAGAAATACAAAAAATAGCCGGGCGAGGTGGCAGCGCCTGTAGTCCCAGCTACTCGGGAGGCTGAGGCCGGAGAATGGCGTGAACCCGGGAGGTGGAGCTTGCAGTGAGCTGAGATCCGGCCACTGCACTCCAGCCTGGGCTACAGAGCGAGACTCTGTCTCAAAAAAAAAAAAAAAAAGACTTTGAAATATTGCTACCAATTGTTAAAGAGCTAGTTGAAGGGAAGGAACTGAAGTTTTGGACAGGTGGAACAAAGGAGAAAGGAAAGGGCTATATTTGCTTTATTCATGTGGGCTACTAGAAAGTGTATCTGTTTAAATGTCTCTGAAGTTGATATGATCCATATATTGCCTGAGTGTTTCTCTTTACTGCTGGTAATATGGTCATACTTGATGTTTTTAAAAGGTGAGTTTTGGAGATAAGTTGTTACAGTCAATTTGAAATATTTAGAAATGAGGATATACCATTATACCATTATTTTTTAAGAATTCAAATATTTTCAGTTAGTGACTCACTTAGCAAATATTTGATCATCTAATACTTTCCAGGCATAAAACCTATGGAGTATTTTTTAATAGCTTCTTTTTAAAAATTTTTTAATTGTGGTAAGAGACATAACTGAACATTTAGCATCTTAACCATTTTTAAGTGTACAGTTCACTAGTGTTAAGTACATTCACATTGTTGTGCAGCAGATATCCAGAACTTTTTCACCTTGCAAAACTAAAACTCTGTCCCCATCAAACAACTTCTCATTTCCCCCTCCCCACAGCCACTGGCAACCACCATTCTTTCTTTTCTGTGAATTTGACTACTTTAGTTACCTTACATAAGTGAAATCATACAGTATTTGTCTTTTTTTGTGATGGACTTATTTTATTTAGTGTAATGTCCTCAAAGTTTATCCATGTTATGGCATGTGGCAGGATTTTCTTCCTTTTAAGGCTGAATAATGCTCCGTATGCAAGTCTCTCATTTTGTTAATCCTTTCATCCATTAGTGGACACTTGGGTTGCTTCAACTCTAGGTTATTGTGAATAATGCTACTAGGAACTTGGGTGTGCAAATATCTCTTTGAGATCCTGCTTTCACCTCTTTCATATATATAATCCAAAGTGGGAGAACTGTGTCACATGGTAATTCTACTTTTAATTTTTTTGGGAGAAAACCTTTGAATTTTGAGCATCTCAATATCTCAGCATGTGACTTTTCTTCTAAGCTAATCCTTTGGATGGTTTTGGTCTTACTGAGGGGAAGGTAGTACGGTTACATAGAAAGAATGTAGTTTTTGGAATCATACAAACCATGGTTTGAATCATGGCTCATCTCTTTATAAACTGTCACCCTGGCCAGATTATTTTACCGCTCTGAACTTCAGCTTTTTCATCTACAAAACAACAATGGGAATAACGTACATTATATTGGTTTTTGTGAAGAGTAAAGATAATGTTCATGACAAGAACCAAACCACCAGTTAAAACTTGTGCATCACTACTAGCCTCTGACTTCAGTCATTAGACTGAATAAAGTATTATCTGCTGATGATTTATTACCTGCTGATGTGATTTCTTTTCTTTTTCTTCTTTTTCTTCTTTTTTTTTTTAATGATAGATATCCCAGAGGAGGAAGCCAGATATTGGACCTACAAATGGGAGCAAATCAATGCCTTGGGAGCTGACAATGAGGTAGGAGCAGCCTTATTTGCAGTATAGAGTGATAGGGGGAAATCTCCAATACTCTTTATAGGTTGCCCAGGAAGGGGTCCAAGAGCATGTTGTCCTGAGAATGAAATCATTTAAATTGCGTTAAAGAAAAAAGACAGCTAGAAGATTTCCTGAAATGTCACTAGAAGGTCCCATCTCCCATTTATTCTATTCTTCCCATTCTCCCATTCTGTGGTACTAGTCTGGCTCTGGACTGTTAGGGAAGGAGCTTGCACCAGGGAATCTGTCCTCTTTTGTGTGTGAGTTGGAGGCATTTCTTTTGCTTCTACTGTCTCCCAGATTTTTGGATATTATTCTTATTTGTGTCCTGTTTTTGAGGATGTTTAGACTGTTGCATTGTTTGGTCTTGCCAGTCCTAACTTACCTCCAGAGATGAGGCTGGTGTGTATAAGAGAACACATTCAGCTCAACCTGGGGCATCAGGATTGGAGAATGTTTTTGTTCTTGCTGAGGGAGAGAAAAGATGATAAATTTGTTTATTTTGGACACGTGGGCTACTAAAAAATGGGTCTGATTGTAAGATATACTTTGAGTGCCAGAGGATATTTCAGCAGAAATTTTTGATAAACAATTTCATGAGATAATCGGAAGCTGAGGTTTGAATGGGGTAGGGAGCTGTAGGCATAGAGCTTCATTAATATATGAGAAACAATTGAAGTCATAGGAATGGAAAAACTTCCTCAGGTAGAGCATATGGAGACAATATTCAAGAACAAAGTCTTGGGAAACCTTAAACATAGAATTCTGAGAAACAAAAGAGACTGAGAAAGGGCAACCTTAAAGAGCGAGAATAACATAACCAGGAAAGATTCATGGAACAAAGGAAAAAACAGATCCAAGGCAGAAATTCTTGACAGTATCCCATGTTAAAACAAGTGAATTATGAAATAGAGCTATTGGATTTGGTGATTGATGACGAGTACACATCCATAGACTAGTACATAAAGGGAAATGCAGTGGTTTGATGACTGTATTTGTTTCCTACAGCTGCCATAACAAAGTTCTATAAACTAGGTGACTTTCAACAACCAAAATTTGTTTTCACACAGTTCTGGAGACTGGAAGTCTGAAATTAGGCCGTCAGCAAGATCAGTTCAGCTCCATTCTGGAGGCTCTGAAGGAGGAAGCATCCTATACCCTTCTACCTCTGATGGCTGCTGGCAGTCCTTGCTGTTCCTTAGCTTGTAGATATATCATTCTGATCTCTGCCTTCGTTGTCACGTGCCTCCCTGTGTGTCTGTCTGTGTCTTCACAATGCATTCTCCTGTCTCTGTGTGTCTGTGTCTAAATTTCCATTTTTCTTATAAGGACGCTAGTCATTGAATTAATTTGATTATGTCTGCAGAGACTTTGTTTCAAAATAAGGTCATATTCACAGATGCTTAGGGTTAGAAGTCTAACATATCTTTTAGGACATAGTTCAACCCACAGTGAGTTAAATGAAAGATGAAGAAATGGCATTTGGGACAAGCAACATCTACTCTTTTCAGGGTTTTCCCTTACCTCTTTTATTCTTGGTAGGCTTTCTGTTATTAAACTGTATAACTCTTCTCATGCCCACACCAGCATCCCAACTTTTCTTTGTTGTTGAAAGCTCCAGTCCTCCTTCTCCACTTAGTAACTCTGAGCATTTCTGCTTTTTTTGCATCTACATTACTTTGTGTTTTTGTTCATCTGAAGCCTGGCTGTGGAGTGGTACCTTTCCGACTGCCATCATCCTTGTTTTCCTGATAAAGAAGCATGTTGTACTTTTTTTGTTTTATAGGCTTTACTGTGTGTCATTATGCAGAATCAGAAGAAGGGACTAAAACAATTTAAAAACCAAATATAACTTATACAAAAATTGTGGAATTTTATAAGTTCTATTAATAGTTCTTGGTCTGTGGTTCCTAACTGCGTATCAGATTTTTGCTTTCTGTTTTTATTGTAGGGTGTGACATTCACTAAGTTTTCATCTTTCATCCTCTCTTCCACTGTGCAGTTTATCTTTTTAGCAGTTTTATTGAAATATAATTTGTATATACTGTACAGTTCACTCATATAAAACTTACAATACAGTGGCTTTTAGTATCTTCATAGTTGTGCCCTATGGATGTCACCACAACTCCAAATCAGATTTTTGCCTTCTGTTTTTATTCTAGTGTATGGCACTAAGTTTTTATCTTTCATCCTTCTTCCACTATGCTGTTTATCTTTTTAGCAGCTTCATTGAAATATAATTTGTATATACCATACAGTTCACTCATTTAAAGCTTACAATTCAGTGGCTTTTACTAGCTTCATAGTTGTGCCCATGGATATCACCACAATTTTGAATATTTTCATTGCCCCATAAAGAAACCCTGTGCCTTTAGCCATCAGTCTCCATTCTTCCCTATCCTCCTCAGCCCTATCTACCCACTAATCAGCCTTCTGTCTCTATGGACCTATTCTGCACATTTCTGATAAATGAAATTATGTAACATGTGGTCGTTTGTTTTCTTTCACTTAGCATAATGTTTTCAAGGTTTCATTCATGTTTTAGCATGTAAATAAATTCCTTTTTATTGCCAAATAACATTCCATCATATGGATGTAGTATATTTTAAATTCATTCATTAGTTGATGGACAGTTGGGTTGTTTCTACTTGTTAGCTGTTATGGATAATGCTACTTTGAACATTTACATACAAAATTCTGTGTGGACATATCTTTTCACTTCTCTTGGGTATGACCTGGGAGCAGAATTGCTAGATCACATGGTAACTCTGTATTTAACTGATAGACTGCCAGACTATTTTCCAAAGTGGCTGTGACATTTTATACTCTTACCAGCAGTGTATAAAGGTTTCAATTTCTTCATATCCATGTCAACACTTGTTATTATCTTTTTTATTATATCCATTCTTCCATTCTTAGCATGTATGAAGTGTTATCTCATTTTGGTTGCTTTTCCATTTAAAAACTTTTTTATTATGGAAATTTTGAAACATGAAAAAATATACTCTTCCCTTTTTTTGCTGGAGTATTTTAAAACCAATCTGGCCAGGTGTGGTGGCTCATGCCAGTAATCCCAGCACTTTGGGAGGCCAAGGTGGGCAGATCACTTGAGGTCAGGAGTTCAAGACCAGCCTGACCAACATGGTGAAAACCCATCTCTACTAAAAATACAAAAATTAGCTGGGCGTGGTGGCGGGCACCTGTAATCCCACCTACTTAGGAGGCTGAGGCAGGAGAATCGCTTGAACCCGGGAGGCAGAGGCTACAGTGAGCCAAGATCACATCACTGCACTCCAGTCTGAGTGACAGAGCAAGATTCCGTATCAAAAACAAAAAACAAGCCTAGGTATTATCTTGTCTCACCCATAAATATATCAGTATAGATCTCTAACAGGTAATGCTTTTTTAAAAAAACCACAATGCCATTATCATGTTGAACTTAACAATTTCTTAGTGTCATCCAATACCTAGTTTTTTCAATTTCCTTTATTATCTAGAAGATGTTTTTTTCATAGTTGATTTTTTCATTTCAAGAGCCAGATAAGGTGTGCCCATTTGGCTATCATGTCTCTTCAGTCATTTTACTTTATTTTATTTTTGTATTTTTTTGTAGAGATGGTGTTTCATCATTTGCCCAGGCTGATCTCAAACTTCTGGGCTCAAGCAATCTGCCCACCTCAGCCTCCCAAAGTGCTGGGTTTACAAGCATGAGACACCAAGCTCAGCTCTTTAAATCATTTTAGTTGTAAAATCATTCACTTACCCTCATCTGTTTTGTAGAATTCTGCACATTGTGGATTTTGCTGATTGTGTCCCCAGGTTTTATTTACCGTGTTCCTTTATCTCTCTTACTTCCTTTAAACTGAAAAGTGCATCTATTAGTTTGAAGACTAAGTTGTAGTTCACTTTTGATAGGCGTGATGTTAAAATTCAACAGTGGATTCAAGTATCGTCAGCCCATTTCATTCATTATGATATTTTTCCATCAGCCTCTTAGCTAGTGGTTTTAGCTGCAAATGATGATGATTATGTTAGAGTCTGAAAAATGATGGTTTTCTTTCTTTCTTTTCTTTTTATTTTTTTGAGACAGCCTTACTCTGTCGCCCAGGCTGGAGTGGCGCTGCAGCCTCCGCCTCCTGAGTTTCTCAGCCTCCTGAGTAGCTGAGATTACAGGCATGCACCACCATGCCCGGCTAATTTTTGTATTTTTTAGTGGTGACAGGGTTTCACCTTGTTGCCCAGGCTGGTCTCGAACTCCTGCCTCTAAAGGTCTGCCCACCTCGGCCTCCCAAAGTGCTGAGATTTCAGGCAGAAGCCACTGTGACTGGCCTGATAGTCTAATTATATTATCCCTTCAGCATTTATTAGCTATGATTTGTCTATAAAAAAATATTTTCTCTTACCAGCTAGCTATTTGGTTCACTGAAATACAGTCTTTATAAGAAAAACATTCTCTTATCTATTTTTAGAATAATGAACTTTTGCCTCAGCAACTTCTCAAGGTGACCAGTAAGTTGTTTTCTTTTTTAAATGGAATATTACTATGTATTTATAAATTTGGGTATATTCGATCATGTATTTCGACCCATTGCAATCATTCTTTTTTGGAGACAGGGTCTTGCTCTGTTGTCCAGGCTGGAGTGCAGTGGCACAATCATAGCTAACTACATCCTCAAATTTCTAGGTTCAGGTGATCCTCCCGGTTCAGCCTCTCAAGTAGCAGAGACTACAGGAGACTCAGGTTTAAAAACACCTAGCTAGTTTTTAAATTTTTTGTGGAGATGGGGTCTTACTATGTTGCCCAGGCTGGACATTGTTTTTGATACTAAAATGATCTCATCTTTGGCCAATGGGAGTTTCTTCAAGTTGGCTTCTGTCTCTTCTCTTTTTCTATTTTTATCATGAAAAACATTTAAGTATACATACAAATATAGGAAAAATAAAAGGAAACCCATGTGTATACCCATCCCTAAGATTCAATA